CTGCTCGGCGACTGAGCAGCAGCTGTTGGGCACAATTGCTCGCCTTCCACTGAGCTCGGCCAATTTGCCACAATTGGCGTCGCTTTTAAATCGTCTCGCATTTAAATCGCCGTCAGTAGGCAGTAGACAGCAGCTCGACATTTTGGCATTTTATTCTCAGATCGCTTTAGTTCGCATCTGATATGCGCAGCTCCACAGGTTGCCTTATTTCACTCAATTTCATTTGATTTGATTTGCGCACTCGCTGAATCTGCATGCCTCTGCAATAGTCTGACCAAAGGCCAATCTCTTTGCGCACAGTGGGGCAAGAGCTGTGCAAATTAGTCAACTATTTGTATTAATATATATTTAGGTATGATGTTTTACTCCTATACGTTCTTCTGTTTTGAATGACTTGATAGTTTATAAACTACATTCTCTCTTATGCTTTTAAACTGAACTAGTTAGTGATCAGAGAAGAATATAGCTAAGATCGATGGATTTTTATCAATTAATCGTGGTCAATGCATGTTATTCTGCAGTTTATTGATGAATTAATCTGTAAATATTAACTATATTCATCTCTGATCACATAAGAACTTTGACTTTTACTTATCCAGCCGCTGTTAACCTCATGTAAAGCGTTAACAGCAAGGAAAGTGCTCTGTAATATTTTTACTGTAGAAAAATTCCAAATATAAACACTTTCATACCTATATTCCCATTCAATTCGTACACATTCTTTAACATTTTCCCCCAACCTATGACCACTGTGCACTGGGTATACAGATCCCCTACATAACCGATCTCATTTGCATAGTCAAGTGCCGCAGTTTGTTTTGGCTTCGTTTGCACTCATTTTAATATACATTTTAATAAAATAAATGCAAAAAAATTGTTACAATCAGGTAATTGAAGACAATTTGTCGGTTACGCACACAGAATAACAGAATGAGACAGGGTGCGACAGAGATAGAGAGAGAGAGAGAGAGACAGCGAAGAGTAAACGAATATCAGCCGAAAGGTCGAGAACAAACATAATATCAATTGATACAAACAAAAACGAACTTGAAGTTACAAATTATATTTGGTTTTATTCAAATATTACAGCAAAAATGTGCTACAATATGTCAGTGAAAAATGAACAGATATAGAGAATGTTAAAAATTAACCATGGCATAGTCGGTACGAAAACCTCGACGATCAATTGCATAGATATTGTCCGCTTGACATTCGTAATAACCTAGAAAGAAATCGGAAATTTAGTTGCATAATTAATTCTAACAGAGACTATGTTATTTGCTAATAGTTTATCTTTCTCATTGCATATAGAAATTATAAATGAAAATATTTCTATAAAACTATTTCTTTAGATTTTCTAATTCCCAAAAACAGCGTTTTGATTATCTTATATTTGTTTCGTTCTGGAACTATTAAAATAGAACTTCATCTATAGTTTCACAAATACGTAGAATACTGCCTTCAAGTCTATCTCTAAATATTTAGGGTTACGAGTAGCTAAATCTTAGATTACCTGCATCCATTTGCGTAGTTGGATCGATTTCCATTTTCGATTTAATAATCTCTGGCTCTGGATGGGATTCGTGTACCTAAAATATAAAATGAAAATCATGTTTTTAACAAAATTTGATCGTTGTTTAAAGTTAGCTTACCTGAAAGAAACGATGTTGATAGAGCTCTGCGCCATCCTTGAACCAGGTGATAGTTGGACGAGGATTGCCTAAAAGTATAGAGAGATGTGTAAGCGATATATATTAAGAATAGATAAATGTGAAGAGGGAGAGAGAGAGAGAGCGACATGTATAGATAGTTAGTCATATGAGAGATAAATTAATTTGTAATGAGAGAGTTTTACGAATGATATAACATGTTAGGCTTCGCCTATAATTTGTGGACTGCATGACATACAGAAAGCTGATAAATTTACTTAGTAAATTAAGACTGTGCAATTCAAGCCTATTGTCATATAAATAGATAGAGAGAGAGAGAGAGAGAATGGGAGAGAGAGGCAATTTTAATTCCTACTAACCCTGTGCCATGCAGAAGAAAGTTATCTTGCGACCCAGCGTATAATCCAGCTCAAAGTGCGATGATTTTATGATCTTGGCACCCTGTTAGATAGAAAGAGAGAGAGAGAGAGACAAAGAGTTATTTAGTAAATTAACTCTTTTAAAATAGATTTCTCAGGCCATATAGCTTAACCTTGTAAACTTTGACTCACATTCTCATGATCGTAATAGTTGACCGCGTCCTGTGATCTGTGTTGAATGACAACTGGCTTCTTGCCCGTATAATTGCGACGTAGGACATTGCGACCGCCAGTGCTTCCTATGGTATATAGATAAATATATGATTAAACAGAGCTGTTTATACACGTATGGAACAATCTTAGATCTTGCTCACTTTGCGCCTGCACCTGACTAAGATCACTCAACAGCAGCAGCAGCCAGAGCAGAGCGARTGCTTTGATCTTGCTCTGGTTTAACCAGGGAGTGGGCATATCTGTTTGTTTGTGATCTGTGATCGGCGATCTGTGACTGCGCTGATTCGGCTTTGCACTCGTCTGTCAGCGTGCAATGTTTTGTTCGAACTGCGACCAGAGTTTAGGGGTTAGCCCCTGTTTGTTTATCTCACTGATTGAATTTAATCTGTGCCTCGCTCAGCCTCGCGAGAGTTTCGCTACTTTCCATTTCCACAACATTGTTGCGAAATACATATATATGTTTGTGTGTGTGTGTGCATATATATCTGTGAATCTGCATCTATATAGTGTATCTAATTTTGCTTCTCTCTCTCTCTCTCTCTCTTCAGCGGCATGTTCAATGTGCCACATGTGACGACAATTTATCTGATCAAGAAGAGCGCCTTCGATGCAGTCAAATTCGAGCACAAGGAACTCGACCCTGATATGGCCATGTCTGATTCTCTAAGAGATGCGGTAAGTGATCCACAATAAAATAATTCAACATTGAACTATTTTAATCAACCTGTTTATATTATTTGCTTGAGGAAGCATTTACAGCTGCTTTAATAGAACACTAAAGAAAAGTTCTAGGCAATCGCTTCTATTTTCATTTTAATAGTTTTTCAATAATTTATTTTAAATATTTTTATCGGGAAGAATCCAAAGTAATTTTCCCTTTAAAATGAAATCAAAATTATTAGACAATGTTTAAAAATAATAAAATAATATATACATAATACTCTTTAAACAAGAAATACTTTATATTGTATAAACATTTTTATTTACATATTATATTATATTTTTCGTTCTTTCATTCAATAGCCCCTTCTAATTAAAGATTAAAAGATCTAAAAGTTTTTCGGTCGTTTCTTAGATTCATGTTTCAGACTTATATACTTTCCTAGATATTGTTAATTATAAATTCGCTCGCTCCCCTCTCTCGCTCTCATGTACTCTAAATCAAAATTCTGTTCTTTTCATTATCTTTCTAGGGCGTCTTCATGTACGTCAGCAATGAGCGCTATTTCGGCCATCTGATCAATGCGGATAACTTCAATACGACCGTAGCTCGTCCCGATTTCTATACCCTGTTCAGCAATCGCTATGATTGGACCTTGAAGTACATCCATCCGAACTATTCGTCGCAGCTGAACGAGAGCGTGGTCATTCCACAGCCCTGCCCCGACGTCTATTGGTTCCAGATTGTGACCGACGCCTTCTGCGACGATTTGGTGGCTATTATGGAAGCGTATGGCAAGTGGTCCGATGGCAGCAATAGCGATACGCGATTGGAGGGTGGCTACGAGGCGGTGCCCACGCGTGACATTCACATGCGACAAGTGGGACTCGATGCGCTCTATCTGAAGTTTTTGCAAATGTTTGTGCGTCCGCTGCAGGAGCGTGTCTTCATGGGCTATTTCCATGATGTAAGTCCGAGCTTAAGAGACATTTTCGTTTTTCAAGTTAGCTAATGCACATTTCGCTTGCTCTCCAGCCTCCGCGGTCTCTGATGAACTTCATGGTGCGCTACAAGCCCGATGAGCAGCCCTCTCTGCGTCCACATCACGACTCCTCGACCTACACAATCAACATCGCAATGAATCGGGCGGGCATTGATTACGAAGGCGGCGGCTGTCGGTTTTTGAGATACAACTGCTCTGTGACGGAGACGAAGAAGGGCTGGATGCTAATGCATCCGGGTCGATTGACTCACTTCCATGAGGGTCTGCTGGTGACCAAGGGCACACGCTATATCATGATTTCGTTTATCGATCCGTAGGCGTTGCCCAGTCGATGCTACTATATGAACTGCCATGGGAAGGCCACTCCAAAGAATTTATAGTTAGTTTAAAGTAAGCAACTCGAATCAAATCTAGTTTAGTCTTGGAATGTGGTCCATTAAATTGCCTTAGTTGGTCGTTCGTTTGCCAAATATCCTGACAAAACGCAAAGTTTGTCTTCGTAATTCCAAGGTCTGACACAAAACTTTATTAAGCCTTAAGTTTAATCTAATTTTTTCGAATCGTGTTCAATTCACTATGCAAATACAACAAAAAGATGTACACAAAAAAGCAATTTTTTAATAAATGGTACGATAAATATATCGTATGTACAGGTACATTTTACATGTCTGTAGAGCTGTTTTAATTTTTCACATTTGAATTGCGCGCGCATAAGAGCGCTGTTATTTTATACTGCTTTAACAGCAAGCAGTGCACTGCTTAGCTGAACTCTGTTAATGCCAGCATAGCAGTGTGCAGCACAAACTTTTAACAGTTTGTGCTCCCCTTTTTCATATAAAGAAGACTAATAAAATAATATTTATAAGCTATGTTTAAGATATTAATCTTTATACATAGGCAAATCATTTAAACTTACAGAATTTCAAATTCTTATTGGATTTCTTCATTGTTGCATTCCAATAAGAATGTTTTGCATATGCAAACATAAACTTTTGCTGCACAGTGTAAATGGGTAAATGCTCCGTCGTGCAGCGGTTTCTTGTTTCCGTTTCGTTTTGCTTGCGCTCAGTCGCATTTGGAATAACAGTACGTGCGGGTGTTTTCGCGGGCGCGTTCATGTTGCCGTTCGCTTCTTCATCTACAGTTAGTTCTTGCCTAGCTGTTGGCGCGCCTGGACAACGCAAAGTGCGTTTGGAGTGTTGCCCTTAAAAATAGCCAAATATTTTACAGCAACAACTCTTGTCAATCCATTGCAGTCAAGTGTAAGTGTGCGTTTATCCGTGTTTGTGCGTCGCAGTTGAATAAATTTAAATATGTGTGTGCATAAATCGAATAAGAAGTGCTCGAAATGCCGCATCCTGTGAAAAGTGAAACAAACAAAACAGCAAAAGGGCAAGGCAAAAGTTTTGTTATTGGCAGCGCAGACATTGCCTCTCGGTCACAGGCTCTTCTGCGCGCTCTCTCGTTCTCTCTCATTCATGCTGCCCTATTCTAGACTATTTCGTACAGCGGCTCATTCGATTTTCCTTTTTCCTGTTCCGCGTGCGTGTGGCCTCTGCTCCTGTTGTTGCTATTCTTGTGGTTGTTGTTTATGCTGCCACTTTTTTTCTGTTCCTGTTTTACTTGCCTACATTTTTTACTATTTTATTTACACTTTTCGGCTATTTGTGTGCGCGCACGTTGTTAGTTGTAGAGGTGGAGCAAAAAGGGGCGCGCATTTTGCTCACACCTGGGCAACGTTTATTTGCGCCCCGGAGTTGCTCTGGCAACAATAGCAACAGTAACAACAACAGCAGCAACAACATGAACAACAACAAGAGCACGAGCCATAGCTTATGTTATTTGAATTTCCTTTTTATGTAGCAAACAACACGAAAGCTCGTGCAAACCGAACGTGGCAAAAAAAAGAACCGTTAAAAACATTAAATTATCACATATAGAATAACAGCAACAAAGAACTGTAACTGCAACTATCTGGTGTAACTGCATCTGCATTGCCACCAGCAACGCCAACGCCAACGCCAACTCCCAATTGGCAGCCGGCAAATGATCAGGCGAATTAAAACTGAAAGTTCGCCTCGAATTGTTGCCTAACGAGCATGGAACAGAGGGAGGGCATACAAAGTGTCGCCGCTACTGTGCGATACGTTCGTGTTTCGGGAGCCGTCCAATGCTGGAGGTGAGTGCACATATGGGTGTAAGTCTGTGTGTGTGAGTGTGTGTGTGCATGTGTTTATGGGAGTAGGGCTGTATATTTTCTATTAGCGCTGTGTTTTTGTTTCTTAGCCGCCTTGAAATTAGCTAAGCAGCTGCTAATTGGGGTGGCAGGTCGTGAACACTGAGCACAGCCAAGTGTTGGAGAGGGGCGGGGGAAGTGTAGGACGCATAAGCGAAGCATAGAGGAGCGACAACTGTGTAACGGGACATAAGAAACTGGATGCTAATAATAAAACTGCATCGAACATATGCTCAACTCGACAGATTATTGACAATTCTCTTTAAGTGCATTTCTAATCTTAGAGTACACTGAACAAAATTCGTTTCTTGAAGTTTTAGAATATAATATTTGTCAATGAATATTTAATGCATTATTATTATAAAATGAAATATTTATTTATCTATTATTCATATCTTATTACTTGAAAAAAAAAAAAA